GGGATGAAATCACTCTGCTGAACTAAGCCAGAGTCATATTTATTGACCAAAATAGACTGAGTGTGAGACAGGCATATTTCTTCAGAAATCTGAGGTACTATTACCAAAATCAGAAGGATGGATCCTGAGCACAAAAACAACCTTGTTCACTGCCTCCGTGTGTGTGTGTGTGTGTGTGTGTGTGTGTGTGTGTGTGTGTGTTTAATGATCCATATCCCCCATATGACATCTCTAGGGTACAGTTGATTACACTTCTATGGTGAGAAAAGGTTGAAAAAAACATCCTAAATTTTGACGTTGCTTTGAACAAGTCACTTGCTCTTTCTGGATCTCAAGTGCTTTCTCCTCATAACAAAACACCATAAAATTAGAATTCTCTTGGCCCATTCCCTGCCTTAGGAATACTGGGCCCATAAATGAGGTCACGTCTGTAAAGTGCTATGATTTCCTTGAAGACAAATGCAGTATAAATATATGATTGTTAGCTAAGTTGCTAAAAAAACTAGTCTGTGCATGAATGTATTGGAAGTTAAACAGGACCAGACGAGGGCAATAGGATGTATTATTCCTTAGGGCCAATTGATTCTTTTGTTTCTGTGACATCTAGTGCCTCACAGTTACCTCCTTCCACCCCCAGCACCCACACACTGCCAGGAGGGACAGCTAATTTAGGCTCCCTAGAATGATAGCTTAAAATATTTGAAGAGCAAGCCAGAAGAATCGAAAGCAATTACCATGTCGGAGGGTTTTTCAGAAAGATAATTAAAGAGAAATCCTGTCTGGGCTTTAAATACTGATGGTTGTTCACCTGCCCTAATTCATTCATCAAAGTTCCCACATGTACGGTTTTAAAGGAACCTAGTAGTCAATAAAAAAAAAAGAAAGAAAAAGACAGGGCTCTTTTATCCTATGATAGATTTTATAATGAGAAGGAGAAGAAGAACGAGAGGAGGAGGAAGAAGAGGAAGAGAAGAAAAGACGGAAGGAGAAAGCGAAAGAACTCATTCCTATCCTTTTCTTTTGTCTCTTAGAAATCATGGATTTTAGACCTGTAAAGGACCTGAGAGGTCAACCTAGCCACCTCCCCTCTCCCTTTTAAAAATCATATGTGGACGGTGAGGACCAACAAGGTGAACTAAATTTTCTAAGCTTATGCTGTCAGTTAGTAGGAAAGCAGGGACTAGGGTCCAGGTTTCCACCTCCCAGACTGGTACATTTCACATTCAATCATCCTATCTCTCTTCCAGTTTGAGGAGCTTGAGCAAGCCACTTTGCCTCTCAGACCCAGGCTATCTCATCTATAAAGCATAAACTAAACCAACTAAAGAAACACTGCTGAGAAATATGACCTCTTGAGGTCCTTTCTGTTTTTGATCGGTCAACAAATATTTTTAAAGACCTAACAGCAAATAATGCAATATCCAACCAAAAGCAATTTAAAGAAATAAAGACTTTATTGTCATCTCATAACAAGAAGTCAGGAGGTAGATCCAGTGGCTGGTATTCGTTCCGTGGTTTAATGATGTTTTATGATGGATACAAGCAACTCTATCTTCCTATTTCATAGTGTTGGCTTCTTATCTACATTACTGTTGCCTCAGGGTTCCAAGATGGCTTCTGCAGTCCAGATGCCACATTCTTTTCAAACTTTCATTTAATATTTTTAAAATACCCAACATGTGACCACGTTAGCTGTAATTCTTTTGTAGGTATACCCTATCAAACTGAGAGAGATCATTCCGTTTATAGTTGATGAGAGCTTTTTTGTTTAAATCATGAACGAGTTTAGAATTTTGTCAATTGTTTTTTCTACATTGGTTGGGATTATATGAATCATACGAATTGTCTTTTTTATTCTGTTTATATAGCGAATGACACAAATTCATTTTAAAATGTTGAACCAACCTTCCATTTCTTACAAAAATCACACTTGGTTAAGCTATCTTACTCTTTGGACATATTGCTGCATTTGACTTACCAATATTTTGTTAGAATTTTTGCATTTGTATACTTTTACAAAGGATGTAAAAGTATCATTTTCCTTCCTTTTTATTTCTTGGTATCAGGGTTATTCTGACCTTATATTATGAGTCAGGAAGTGTTCCCTCCTCCTCTATTGCTTCAAAAGTGTATGTAAGACTAGTATGATTTTTTTCTTAAATGATTGATAGCGTTTACTAGTGAAACCATCTGGCCTGGAACTTTCTTTTAGGGACCTTAAAATATATAGGGCTATTTGTGTGTGATGCTAATTTCTTACCAAACTTTTGACTCCTGGTGCATTCTCTAAAAACTATGTTCTTGTAGTTGATCAAAAGTGTGTGTGTGTGTGTGTGTGTGTGTGTGTGTGTGTGTGTTAATTTTGGGAAATTGTGTTTTTCGAAGAGATTTTCCATTTCATCAAAGTTATCAGCATAAAGTTGTTCATAATGTTTTCTTGTTGGTCTTTTAATTCTTTTAGGATTTGTAAGCTTGTTCTTTTATTCTTGATATTGCTTAATTGTGTTTTCTTTCTTTTTTCCTTATCAATCTCACTAGTGTTTATTTTATTAATATTTTCAAAGAATTAACTTGTGGTTTTGTTAATTTTGTCTAACTTATATTTTTAAATTATTTCCTTCTTTCTACTCACTTTGGGTTTAATTTCCTTTTCTTTTCTTAACTTCTTAAAGTGGAAACTTAGATAATTGATTTCAAACTTTTTTCTTTTGCTAAAGTAAGTTTTTAAAGCTATAAATTTCTTGGTAAGTACTGCTTTAGCTGCATTCCATGAATTTTGATGTGTTTTTATTGTCATTTTATTTGAAATGTTTTCTGATGCTCTTAGAACTGTAGCTGGCATAAAAGACCTAGGAAGTGTTATTTCCTATTAGCTCAGGTTTTTGTTTTTTTTTCTCTTGTTAAATGAGAATAAAGTGATGGATCACTCTGACAGGGGTGTCTCTTCCACCTCTGAGCCTCTTTGCTGTTTCCACTGCCTGAACCACTATTCTTTCACGTGAGCCCAGACTTCATCCTTCTTCTGGTTAATTCCTATTCATCTTACAGGTGTGAACTCAAGCCTCACTTCCTCAGAGAAGCCTTTTCTGATGACCCAGACTGCATAGTTTTCTCATATGTTGGATTGAATAGTGTCCCCCAAAGTTCATGTTCACCCAGAACCTGTGAATATGACCTCATTTGGAAATAGGGTCCTTGCAGATATAATTACAAGAAGAGATCATATTGGATCAAGGCGAACCCTAAACTCAACACGACTGAGGCCCTTGTAAGAAGAAGGATATTTGGACCCAGAGATACACAGGAGAACACTGGAGTGATGTATCTACAAACTGAGACATGCCAAATATTGCCAGCCACTACCAGAGACTAAAAGGCAAGGAAGGATCCTCCCCTAGAGTCTTCAGAGAAAGCGTATCCCCACCAGCGTTTTGATTTCAGACTTTTAGCTTCCAGAACTGTGAAAGTATATATTTCTGTCATTTTAAACCACCCAGTTAGGGGTAATTTATTATGACAGACCTAGGAAATGAATGTACCATGTTACCTGTTTTTACACTTTTTTCATACTTTTCTAGCTCTTGCCAGATAAGTATTATATGTGAATTATCAGTAAATACTGATGATGTAATAATACTAGTTTGGCATTTTAGTGAAGGCCTCTTTGAAAGAGACTACCATAATCTAAATCAGTATCTTTGAAGGGTGCATAATTTTGAGGGAGCCTGGACCTAAAATCACAGCATGTCAGTGGCCAATAACTTAGGCTTCTAAATGCTAGCCTTAGCCTTAGGTGCAGGTCACAGAGGTTTCTGATGCACAAGCGATCCAAACTGATCATTTTTCAAAATAGCAACAAAGCCTTAAAAGAGCACTAAAGTTGGAGTCAGAACCATTGGTTCCGCTTTCCCCTTTGCCTCCAGGGGATCCAGGGCTAGTTGCTCAATTTCTCTGGGTTCCAGGTTCCTTAACAGTTAAAGGAAGAGTTTCGGAATAGTTGGTTCCTGCAGTCCCTCTGGCTTGAACATTCTGTGGTTTTATGATTGTAATGTGGAGCAATAGTATAAAGACAGAATTTACTTCTAAAGCATAAGGCTCCTGGTCACTGCTAGCCTTCTTCCAGGAACAGTATCTGAATCCAGGGATGAAACATTACCACAAGGAGGAGACCACTCAAGCTGGACCAAGAAGGATTCCTCTTAAAATGTTTAACTGCTAGTTCCATCCAAGCTTGTTTTACTAGGGGTCTCATTAATAATAATAATTTTAAAAAATTTAAGTAGCTAGGCTGGTGGTCACTTCCTTTTTCTGGAAAGCAGTGAACTCACCTGCAAAAAAAAGGGAGGGGGAGGATAGAAGCTATGATTATCAAGTTCTCTCCCAGCTCTGTGACTTCAAGCAGTGATTTTGTCAATCTAGAGAGAGGGGGCTTGAGCTAAGTATCAGGTCACCAGGTCAATCTCAGGAATCGGTGCTGTTTACCTTACTAGTTCTCATAACCACTGAGTGGGTTTGGGGCCCTCTGTCTCCACCAGAATAAGCGCTGATGTATGCAACTTTTGGCAAAGATGAAATCCTTGCTCTTACTAATAATGTGTCCTTTAATAGATTCACTGAGAGTTTGACCCTTAGTTTCCCAATCTGTAAAATAGGGATGAATGCTAGCAAAGTTGTAAAAATATCAAGAGTTGAGCAAAAATGCATAGTGCTTGTGTTCCTAAGGATTATGGAAAATAATCCTTAGGAACACAAAGGGAAGATAAACTTGGTGTCATAAGTCCATTGCAGTTGGCTAACAACCAGACAGGCTAGGACGGGCGGTAATCAAGCTACCGTCCTGGCTACTTCTGTGATACCACTCTCACTTTCGGCACTCACTGCGGAGATGGGGTCCGCGCGGTTTCGCGGAACTGCTCTGCACTCGGTGACAGTCACTCAGGCGCCCCGGACGCAGGCCTCGCCCCTCGGCGTGCGCGCTCCCGGCGCGGCAGTGACGCAACGCGGGCGAGGACGCGAGGCGGCGCGGCTCCCGGGCAGCAGCGGCGCCCTCGGAAAGCTGCGTCCGCCTTGCCGCTGCCACCTCGCCGGGGTGGCCATAATGTGCTCCGCTAGCGGCTCCCGGCTCCTGGGAGCCGCAGCTGCCGCATCGGGCTCTGCGGATCAGGTGAGTCGGCTTTCCAGACGAAGGGAGAGAGGGCTGCCGAAGCGGCTAGCCGTTCGGAAACGGTTGGAGCCTGGGGCCCGGCGGGGCGGCGAGGGCCGCGGACGAGCCCCCTGCCCGCGAGCCTCCCCGCACCTGCCCACGGTCTTCCCCGAGTCCGTGCAGCCCCCTCGGTCCGGCCGAGCGGCCACATCCGGGCGCCCCGGCTGTCAGTGCCTGTGACCCTGGGCGGCAGGTGCTCTCCCCCAGCCCCTGGCAGCAGAAGCCTGACCGTCGTGCTGTCGCGCCGGCTCCGGTGACCACGCTGGGTTTTCCTTTTCACACGTATTGTGGACGAATCTAACCCACACTGGAGAGGCACCTGACCCGAGAGAAGGGATGTTGCACTGGGGACCCCAATATTTCTCACCTGCCGCCTTATTGTGACATTTGCATGTTCAGCATCATTTTTCCTTTGCTCTGCTTTTGCTAAATTCCATGCTTTAGATTTCCCCTTGAAGAAATGGACCTAATTGTGTGATAAAGTCATGGTGAGAGCGGTGTTTCTCAGGCTTGAGGAATGCGTGAACACCTTTTTAAAGGGGACTGCTCTCTCTTTCTCTGCAGTGTGTCCCAAAACCCAGTTAGGTGAACACTGGAGCAAAGCATTTTCAGAGAACATTTATCACTATTAGGAAAGAAGTGCTTTGCAATTCGGGAACTTCTGTCCTAGAAGATAAATTAGAGGTTATTAATTCTAAATTAGTGACTCAAATCCCTAGTTTAATTTCACATCGAAGTCTTTACTGTGTTTTGCTTTGTGTAATGGAAATAGCTAATTTGCCAGCCTTGGAGAGGCCTAAGAGTGTCATCTTCTTTGTATTACCTTATATTTGCTGTTATTTTGTCTTTATGTCAGGTTTGTTAATTGTTTGACACATTAGCAGAATTATAAAATGGAATGCTAATTTGTATGAGTAGTTTATTTCTGTGTTGATGTTAACATTGATTTATCGCTTGTATTTGTTGCATATAGAACCTATGGTTTACATTCTTCTAGCCCTAGTAGGAATACATGATCTCAACCTTTGTGTATATAGTCTAGAACAGCAGGCCCAACCTTTTCGGCACCAGGGACCGGTCCTTCTATGAGAATCTAATGCCTGATGATGTGAGGTGGAGCTGAGGCGGTGATGCTAGCGCTGGGGAGCAGATGCAGATACAGATGAAGCTTTGCTCGCCTCCTCCTCCTCTGCCACCCTTGCTGTGAAGCCTGGTTCTTAACAGCCCACAGATGGGTACCAGTCCGCAGCCTGGGATTTGGGGAGACGGTTGGGGAACCGTGGTCTAGAAAGAAGACACAAAAATGAAAATTCATCTGAGGCTGTATATATTTATTTATATTGTATGTATACTCTCTACGTATTTATTCAGCATGTTTTGGTTTTTTTTTAAATGAATAAAGAGAAGATTCAGTGTGAGGAAACATTAGAAAGTATAACAGATTAAATCTTGGCATAGGAAAATATTGACCTGTGCCTTGAAAGAAGTATAATATTGAGAGCAGGATATCTTAGAGGAAGTGATATTAGTGAAGGCCTAATGCAAGAATGAGAACAGCTTGTGTGAGAGGGAAGAAATCCACCTCACTAGAGCAAAAAGCTGTTATCTGGGGTGAGGAGAGAACATGTAGGTGAAATAAGATGGGGTCAATTGATGGATGGAGGTTTCAGATAGCACAGAGGGAAATTGGTGTTGACCCATAGGATCCGGAAGACTTGTGCTGGTCATATTTTGAAGCTAGTGTTTTACAAAGAGGTCTTTCTGAATAGTGGTGTTCACAGTGGAGGCAGAAGGTCGGTGACCTGCCTAGAGAACTGTCTTAAGGTAGTAATGTTTGCTGTAGTCATTTTAGATGTGTGGACTCTTTAAGGAAGAATTGAAAGGACCTGATGAATGATATCATATGTCAACACACAGATGAGTGAGAATAGAAATTAGGAACCAGGAGACCCCAGTCGATGGTGATAGCGCTCTTAGACCTGGAAGATTTGGAAGATGGTATTAGTTTGTATCCAAGATTGTGGTCGCAGACATAGACTAAATGAGTTTGCAGTAACAGGGCATCAGTAACCTCTGGATGTGGAACTGGAACTTGAAGAGCTGCAGATTTGGAAAACTATAGAGGTGATGCAGAAAACATTTGACCAGAAGAAGATCATTTAAAATGGGGACCAGAATTTTGCAAATGAGTGGTGAGGGTTAGGAAGAGGTTTAAGTAGGACTTGATATTGAAAAAATAAAATTTTAAATTTAAAAATAAATATTGAAGAAAATGTAGATCATAAATGCAACTACATGTACTCTTCTTAAAACAAAGAATGAATCAAGTGTGTTGATGTCTTTTTCCCCACAACTGAATGCCACACAGAGTCCTTCACTTCACTTTTGCCTCTCACTCTCACAAAGATAGCTATTTCTTTAAAAATTCTGCTTAAGTATTGGTGGACTTTGATTTTTCAAGTTTTTCTTGTAAACTTTTGATATTCCTATCATTCTTTTTTGAAGCATCCTTCATGTCATTTTACCTTTTCTTACTCAGAGGTCTAGCTCTTCCAGAGTCTCATTTGTCTATAATTTTGCTTGTAGACATTGACCCATAACCCGATGGGCTTTACTAAAGAATGTTCAGCTAAGGAGGGCCCCACTAGCTGAAATCATGAGTTAATGCATCTTCTGATGATACGTCTAACACAATTTAAGCCTCTTATAAATGTGCCAGTTTTATGTACTATTACTTGGAGTTTGGCCCCCTAAACTCTGTTGCCAAGATTCTTAGCTGCAAATACAATTGGAGTTTACATTTAAGTTCAGATTACCATACTGTTGACTGCTAGGTAATATTCAGCCATACTTTCGTCCTACATAAAAGTGATTACTTCAGCAATTTATAAGCTGTCCTATTTTCTCTGTCTTTAAACATGAGTTTTGTAACTTACAAAAAATATCTATCCTTTTTTTCAAAATCCTCATATATCTCAAAGAGAAAAAAGTCCTAAGACAAACACCAGATTAACATTTACTGAGTTTGCTGTGATCATTCTAACAATGCATCCTCTCTTTTAAAATGTATTCTCTGCTCTCCCCCATCCAAAGTCTGCCTCCCACCTCCAGGAATCTTCCTGTTAACCAGCCTTCATTGTGCTCGTCTATGAACTCTTACAGTCCAGATAATCGGACATTTCCTTTTGTTATGCTAGTGATTATTTCCCGGGTATTAGTATTTTCTCTGTAATCAGTCTTCAAACTCTTTGAAATCTGGAGTCAGGTTTGTTACTCCTCTGTGCCCTTAGTATCACTTCATAGTACTCATCACTGAATCGTTAAAGGCCTTCCTTCCCCCCACCTACCCAAGGACCTTAACTTTAAGCTGTTACCTTTTGTTGTTTTGTTCTAAGTTCAGCGGTCATATAATTATCGATTTTTTTAAATGTTCAGGTTGGAATTCCTATGTCATGAAGAGTTTTTAAGAGAGGCTTTCTTCATATATTCAGAAGAGGATTTGATGCCTGAAACTGGGGATTTTAGTCAAAGGTTGCTTGTTAAAAATAGTTCTGTTGTTTCTTCTGATGATAAAATTAATATATGCCCTTTAAGAAATATAGGCATGCCTAAGGAAGAAAATGAAGATGATTCATTATGTCACTACTCAGAAGTAACTAACCCCTGTTAATATTTTGGTTTCTCTTCTTCTATTTCCCCCTCTCAACTCATGCTATAGTTTTGTTTTGTTTTTCCACTTACTATATCATGGATACCTTTCCATGTCAATAAATATAGATCTGTATCATTACCTTTAATAGTCACATCATATTCCATTGCATAAGTGGACCATGTTTAATTTAACCCACCCCCTGTAATGGATATAGTTTAGTAACAATGTTTTGCTCTTATACACAATACTGTGATGAACATCTTTGTACATATTTTAGTGAATTTACCCTATTTTTCTAAGAATGAATTTCTGGAAATGTGATAGGTTGAGCACGTTAAAAATTTTCATACCTCTTAACCACATGCCCCCAGAAGGTTAGATTCTCCCCAGCAGTGTTCATGACCTTTTTCTCAACCGCCTTGTTAGCAAACTATTGTCAGCCTTTAATCTCTACCCATCTGATGGTAGTGAAGTCTTGATTTTCTTTATATGACTCTAAATACTAATGAAGTTATTTTTATCAACCATTTGTACTTCTTATTTCATTAATTTCCAATTATCCTTGCTCATTTTTCTGTTCTCTTACATATTTGTTTTGTAAACTTTTTTTATGTAGGGATATCTGCCTTTTGTCATGTATGTTACAAGGAATTTTCCCAAGCCGTGTATATTTGGGAAGGGATTTTTTTTTTAACATTCATAAGTCTTAAACTCATGTCTATACGTATGTTCTTTCATTTATGTCTTGAGACATTGATGTCATTATAGAAAAGCCTTACCCATTCCAAGATTATGTAAACACTTACCTACATTTTCATCTTATATTTTTTTGGATATTTTTAATATTTAAATCTTTGAGCCATTGAAATTCTAATAAAGGTATAATGTAGTAATCTCATTATATTCAAATACTAAAAGGTAGCTACTTTATAAAAACACTGTTAAAATTCATTGAAACACCTAGGTAATTGGCATATTTTTCCTTTTTGCTTAAACTTTTAAATCACAAATATTGTTTGTCCTAAGTTTTGGGAAAATGGTACAATGTAGACACCACATTAAAAGTTGACCTAATTAAAGTGTGTTTTCCCCTCTTTGTCAGGTAGGCATTGTTAATACTTTGTATGTGTGTGTTTTCCCCTGTACTGCATTATAAATTCTTTAAAGGCTAGATCCATGTCTGATTCATCTTTGTGTATCTCCCATTCCCAGCCATCCAAAAAACAAACAATGGTTGCTTATGACTTGTGTGTCAGGTTCTGTTCCTTGGGGAAACAGAAGAATAAGTGGTTGTCTCTGCCAGTGAGGGGCTTGCCATGTGATGAGAAAGTCAACCACAAGTCTAAAGTGTAGCCTGCTAATGTGATGAGTGAATACTCTGGGGATACGAGGACTGGGTAAGTCCTCACGGAGGGATGGTGCATGACTTGTGTCATGAGGATTACCTTGGAAGGTCAACAGATGGACCCAAAAGGGAGTCATCCTACAAATGCCGAGGAATGTGGAACATTTCAGTGACTTGCAGCTTGTGTTACGATGGCTGAGGCATGGGGTACATATCTGTCTAGTCTGACTGACGGCAGGGAAGACTAGGAAGTTAGACAGGGATTTGATCAATGCTAATGCAAGAGCTACATGCTCAAAATAAACCCTTTAACAACTTCAGTGCAGGGATCATGGACCAGATTATACGTGGTTGGATTCAAGCAGAGTTCATAAAGAATGTAGACATTTTCTTAGATTGTGCCATCTTTGTGATTTTTTCTGGAACAGGAGGGCTCTAACTCCGGCAGGACCCCGTTGTTTCTATAATGGTGTGCGAAGACTGACGCCTAGAACATTGCCTTACCTCTGACTTGTCAGCATGGGGAGGTGAGTGATGTGCCTCACCACTGGCACTATAAAACCCAAGATTTTGGTGCCACAAAAACAGATCTCGAGAGGAACAAAAATCTAACACCCCAGTGAAAAGTGTTCAGAGTTGTGCTACATTTCTGACACCTTTGTTCTTCCAGGGCCCCAGAGGGTGCCCGCGCAGAAGGAAAGTGATAATGCCAGGCAGATTCTACAGGAATTAGTGTAGTTTATCGGAAAGAGCATGCGTGCTGGAATCTGTGAGGGGTTGTATTAAGCGCAAGATAACTGTCTCTAAGTCTCCGAGGTGTGGGGAGGGGATGACGAATTCCATGGACTGGCCCAAGTACCCACAATGGAAACTAGAAACTACAAATGGAAAATTCCATTGGGTTGGCAGGATACCTTCCCATTCCGTGAGATATTTTAGTCTGTGAAACACTCTTTAAAGGAAAGACTATAGAAATGAACTGTAAAATAATAAAATTTGTCCTAAAGGCAGCAAGATATTTTTCAAGGCCTAGTAATAGTTTGTCTTTTCTAACAGAAACTGAGAAGAAACATTTTTATTTGCAAAAATGTCTCAGGAATATTTCTAAAAGCACAGGCCATACAAAATTCATTTATTGAGTTTGTTATGGGGATATTGTTAAAGATACTATTTTCTCAATCATCAGGGAGAAATTTGCCTTGGAATCCAGCATTAATAAAATCTTATTCCTCCTGAGCTATTGATAGTCACGTGCTGCTTATCAAGGGGGGTATGTTCTAAGAAATGCATCATTAGACAATGTTGTCGTGCGAACATCGGAGTGCCCTTACACAAACCTGGGTGCTGTGGCCTCCTCCACATCTAGGCCATGTGGAATAGCTTGTTGCTTTGGGCTACAAACCTGTACAGCATGTTACTATACAAGAATCATGAGATTAATTCAAACGCAAGAGAAAGCGATGAGATTAAGAGATGAGATAAACATAAGACGTTTGAGACTGCCACCAACATAAAATGACAGTTTTATAGCAAACTTTGTTTTATAAAGAGAAAGACTACACTCTAAAATAACAACAAAAAGTATAGTATGGTAAATACAGAAACCAATAACATAGTCATTTATTATCATTATCAAGTATTAGGTACTGTACATAATTGCTTGAGCTCTACTTTCATGTGACTGGCAGTGCAGTAGGTTTGTTTACACCAGCATCACCGCAAACACGTAAGTAAAGCATTGCATTACGATGGTACAATGTCACTAGGCAACAGAAACTTTTTAGCTTCATTGTAATCTTATGAGACCACCATTGTGTATGTGGTCTGGTATTGACCGAAACTGAAACGTCATTATGCAATGTATAACTGTATGTTTATAATCTAGTGGCAAGGTTTTGGCCATTAGGATGGTCAGCTACCTTTAGAGGCCTACCTTATTACGTGCATTTCGATGTACTAAATTGTCTTTTGGTTTCCTCATCTTTAAACCTGATTTCATTATAGATTTAAATATTTATTGAACTTATTCTTAGAAGCTGTCTCTAATTCTTTTTTATTTTATTTTAGTGTTACAATAAACTTTTTAAAAATAGGTAGAACGCATACACTCTAAAATAAAAACAAAAAGTATAATATAGGGAATATGTAAACCAATAACATAGTCATTTATTATCATTATCAAGTATTAGGTACTGTACATAATTGCTTGAGCTCTACTTTCATGTGACTGGCAGTGCAGTAGGTTTGTTTACACCAGCATCACCGCAAACACGTAAGTAAAGCATTGCATTACGATGGTACAATGTCACTAGGCAACAGAAACTTTTTAGCTTCATTGTAATCTTATGAGACCACCATTGTGTATGTGGTCTGGTATTGACCGAAACTGAAACGTCATTATGCAATGTATAACTGTATGTTTATAATCTAGTGGCAAGGTTTTGGCCATTAGGATGGTCAGCTACCTTTAGAGGCCTACCTTATTACGTGCATTTCGATGTACTAAATTGTCTTTTGGTTTCCTCATCTTTAAACCTGATTTCATTATAGATTTAAATATTTATTGAACTTATTCTTAGAAGCTGTCTCTAATTCTTTTTTATTTTATTTTATTTTATTTTATTTTATTTTTTCAGAAACAAAGCAGGGTACAAATAAAAATCTATATAGTACTCTCAAGAAGGGAAACACAGAAGTATCCTAACCATCAGGGCTTAATTTTCATTCATATAGTTTAGTAATAATGGGTTATGTAGCAAAAGAGCAATGTGGAAGATGCTGACGTTCAGGTACTTACTGGCAGGGGATAGGGCAGCTCACACTCAAGGTCTCTAGGTGATGGGAGGCCTCTTTGGAGCAGGTTGCTTTAAAATCTGTTTTTCAAAATTTCAGGATCGGCCTCTCCTGTCTTTTTCCTGCTTCCTGGCATTTTAGCATCTCTCCAGTGGGGTGTCCTCGAATTCTGAATACCAATTTACGCCAAATTATTGTCATTAGCATTCTAGCTGCTGCTGTTTCACTTTTATACTTTTCGGTTGTCATAATCCGAAATAAATATGGGCGGCTATCCAGAGACAAGAAGTTTCAAAGGTAAGTAGAAAAAGCATTTGTTTTCTAGATGGGATGCCACAACCTTCATTTCGTGGCTTCAAGACATTAGAATTAGGTTGGAATTTAAGGTTCCTGTGGCTGTAGGAAATGGATGCTATACGGAATATAGAATGGCATGAAAAATTAAACTGTTATAAAGTGTTTAATCATTAACCGCCAGATCCACATAATAAGTGGATTTGAACATAAGCTTCTCCTATGATATCTTCTAAGCCGTTTTTCAGTTAATGTTGATAGTTTGGAAATAGTTTTGCTTTTCAGAACATGTTCCAACTTCTTTTAAGGAATAGCGAGTGCATATCTGATTTAGATTATCTTTATCACTATCACTCGTTCTATTCTCTTTTGACTCTTTAATCATCTGGCAGTTGTAAAAATGCTCTAGTGGTGCTTCTGCACATCTTAGAAATCACTGACTTGGTATTTGTTTATTGTGTTTGCTCTGTTAGGTTTGGGATGATATTATTCTCTGTCTCAATAAAAGTGTGTGTTTTTCTAAACAAGGTACTTGGCACGAGTTACTGACATTGAAGCTACAGACACCAATAATCCCAATGTGAACTATGGTATCGTGGTGGACTGTGGTAGCAGTGGGTCTCGAATATTTGTCTATTGCTGGCCCAGGCATAATGGCAATCCTCATGATCTGTTGGACATCAGACAAATGAGGGATAAAAACCGAAAGCCAGTGGTTATGAAAATAAAACCCGGTATGTAAATGATAAACATCTGATCGATCGCCAGGGTCTGTCCTTTCATTCTCTGCAGTGTCTTTCACGTCTTTCCCCTTTCTCTCCGCACAGTCATCCTCCCACTCCGAGCTCACACGAGGACCCACCTGGTCTCCTTGTTTCACCTTCTTTTCTCTTTCCTATCCATCCTATATAAGGGGACCAGCACCTTCATAACATGTCCAAACACCCATGTCTTTTGTCTCCTACAACATTATTCATGATGTCTATGCAGATGTTTCCTAGTTGACAAGGTGATTTCGGATAACTCATGGAAATCCGTACTCTAATACCTTGGTATATCTTTGTCATTTTTAAAAATTGCTGCCCCAGTATATTTCTAATCATCTAGATCATTTTTTTTTTTTTTTGCTTAATTTCTGGGAATTTGTTTCATCTTTTTGTTATGTAGATTTAATGAGGGTGATCACAGAGCATAGAAGAGCTGATATCATTATGTCCAGTTTTTAAAGATATTTCAGTTTCTAAGTAAGCATGTTATGTCAAAATTGGGATTTGCCTTTCTCATTAGACTATTTAAATCAGTAGTTCTCAGCCTTTTTCTCAGCCTTTCTCATTAGACTATTTAAATCAGTGGTTCTCAACCTTTTTCTGTATCTACACCATATCCATGTGCAGCACCCTTCACATGGTCAGAAGCATTAGGAATGGAAGGTGTCAGGAGTACTTTGAAATAGGCATCTTATATCTTGATAGTTGATAATCACTGATGTGAACCATCGATCTTAATAGAGATTCAGCACTTTTATTTCATCTTGACAATGTGTTAGTAAAATATTAAATCCAGACAATCCAAGAAGTTTATCTTTTAAAATGTTAGAAAATGTTGATTAAAAAAATAATTATCATAGCTTATTATCTTCTATTCCAAAAATATAAGTGAAAAGGAAATTCAGTCTTAACTTATAAAATACTTGTCCTCATAAAACTGTTCCCAACCAGGTAGACTGTGGACCCCTTGAGTCCTAGTCATTTTTCATTGAATAATTCAGACCCCACATCCTTTTCAGGCAACTCTCAACAAGTTGGTTGTTCTTTGATGTTTGGGCATCTGGGCACCAGCATATTGCTCAGAAAGTTCAAAATCTCTACCTCATTTTTCAGATTAAAGAGAGGGAACTTATTCTTTCTCTTATACAAGCATTATTTTGATAGCAGAGTACATTTTCATGAATGAAGATTATTATTCTGTAAGTCTTAGTGAATGACTTTAATTTTTACTTTCTATTTTCCTACCCCTGAAATTTTTATGTAGCCCTATATAGAAACATTTTCAGGGTGAAAGTTCAAATAAAAAATTCACAAAGATTAAAAACTAAAACTCTATAAAGCACTTCGTATTTCATCTAGCCTCACATGCAAGGTTCCATCAGTGGTTAGACTGCTCTCATGGGATAAGATGAAAACTTTCGTGCCTTGGGGTTTTCCTTTCGAGAACAAAGGGGTAGGTACAGCAGCATCCCAGGGTAGACACCAGAGTCTTACTAAAATCAGGCTTAATTTAACATGGTTCTCTCTGATGCTATAGAAAGTGTTTAAAGTGAAAATTCAAGAACATTTTTATAGCACTTCTCTGTCCTGAAACGTGGACTCTCATGTATAGCATTACAGCAAAGCTCTAGCAATTTCCTTAATAGATTCTAGATAGTTTGGGGCTTGGTGTCCATTGAAATAGTATTGCATGTAGAGTCAAAAAAATCTTCTAGTCTTATGTTTTTGCTGATTGCTTTAACAAATGACTTAATTTTTCTTAGTCCACAATTTCCTACTTTGTGAAATAAGGAATTTTGGACTTCTAAAATCCCCCACATCTTTAATATTGTAGTCTAAAAAACAGCTAGAAATATTCACTCCTGTACTCAGGCAGCAAGTATGTCTATTTGCCAGGCACTGTGTCAGGTGGAAGAATATAAACTGGAACAAGACTCAGTTCATGCCCCTGAGAAACTTCCAGTTGAAATGAGAGAAGCAAATAAATAGATAATTTTGATAAGGTGTAGTGAGGGTAGGCATGGACTGTTATAATAGCTTATCTGCAAGGTTCTATTAGGGAAGTCTTCCATAGAGGAAGCAGCTCAGTGGGTGAGCGGGAGTTACCCAGGTGAAAAGGGGTGGGAAAGTGGGTAGGGAGGCAGTCAAAGAGTACAGGGGCCCTAAGGCCAGAGTATGATGCATTATAGAAATTTTGTTCAGTATAGTCAAAGCCGGATAGGAGTGTGGGAAGAGACAGGATGGGTAAGATGCAGGGCAGGTAATGCTGCTTTAGAGTTGAGCTTTATTTGGAGGGCATTGAGGAACCTCTAAAAGATGTTAAGCCAGGAGGGACACCATTTGCATAGGAAATGGTTAGAGAATTCTAACACTGGAGAGTTGGATGTGTAGGCTGGCAGAGGGTGGGTGTATCCAGAAGACATGAGGAGAAGTGAAAAAATGTGAGAGGAATCCAGGAGAGGCAATTGATGAAACCTAGAACATATGCTGGGACACGGGGGTGGGGTTTTATCCAAGATACTGGCTTGGGCTGCTGGATGGCCAGTGATGGTTGTCACCGAGGTAGGTAATAAACAGTAAGAGCAGGTTTGTAGTACACGTTGAGTTCGGACTTGTATATGTTGAGTTGCGGGGGCTGTGAAGATAAGCACATAGCATCGTCCAGCAGACAGTTACCACAAACTGATCTGCAGGTTGGGGAAGAGATCTAGGTGGCTGCTGCTAAGATTTGGAATTCGAGACATATAGATGCGATGTCAGCTATGAGAATGAGTGAACTTGCCTGAGAAAAATAGCACATTTCTTGAGGGCAGAGATGAGCACATGTGCAATCAATCCCAACTGTCGGATACATAGTAGATGCTCAGTTAGTTCCGGGATTTTTGATGAGTGCGAAGAGAGCATAAGACTGAACATTTAGTCTCACTCACATTTAAGGAAAAGGGACTATGGAGGGAGTTGCCAGAGGGATAAGAAAAAAACTAGGAGAACATGGTGTGTAGCTGAATTTCTCTAAAATTAGCCACAGTGAAGAAACATAACTTACTAACTAAAATATCTACTTGTTAACAGAAGTGTCCTTTTTCTGTAGGCATTTCAGAATTTGCTACCTCTCCAGAGAAAGTCAGTGATTACATTTCTCCGCTTCTGAACTTTGCTGCAGAGCATGTACCACGCGCGAAACACAAAGAGACCCCTCTCTACATTCTCTGCACAGCTGGAATGAGAATCCTTCCTGAAAGGTGATCCCCTCTACCCGAGGGCAGACCAGTCCGGTGGCGGGGCGGGGGGCGTATTTTCTTCCTCATCCCCCTCCTGTCATCATCGTCATCAAAAAGAAGACATTAAAAATTCTTTAAATCTAGAATAGGACCAGAACTATTCCTTTAGCCAGAACTCACCAAATATCGTTTTATATATTTGTCTATGACTTTGAGTAGTAAACTATAAAGCTGTCATTAAAAACACTGATTTTCTATTTTATTAGTTTAAGGATTATTTGCATGTGTAGTTTTACATCTAGGAATCACATAAGTCCTACAACTCTTGAGAATTCCTTCCTAGAATAAATAATCTTTTTAATGAATTGCTTTGGTTTTAAAGTGTACTGCTTCCATATAGGATATACCAGAGCCATAATGGTTTTTGTGTCCTCTTTTTAAAACAAAAATCCAGAATGTAATATTTTGAGGTGTAAACTTTTGGATTATCTTCCAGCCAGCAGAAAGCCATCCTGGAAGACCTTCTGACTGACATCCCCGTGCGTTTTGACTTCCTGTTTTCTGACTCCCATGCAGAAGTGATTTCAGGGAAACAAGAAGGTTGGTCTGTTGTTCTTTACCTTGAAATTCGGGAAACTGTCTCTACATCCTCTCCATTTTCCCCTCTGTATACTTTATTAAATCACCCTTTATGTCTTAAAGTGTGGAAAACCATAGCCTTGAAATATAATTTTTAAATGGCAAAATTAGTTTCTTGCATGGTTGATCTTTTTTTTCCTTGCTAAGGGCATCATGGAGAAAATTACATTCAAGCTGTTCCTAACGAGGTAGTTATGAATATAGCATGCCAGAGCATGGTGTGTGCAGAGCTCTGAGAGAGGGCTAGGAAACACATTCCAGGCAGAAAAGATGATTTAACACAGGTTGGAAATGCTACACTGTAGACAGAGGAACAAACATATTTTAGTTCGACTGGATTATGGCCCTTTTGAAAGCTGTTAGTAAAAGTGAACAGGTCTTGATGATGTCATCATCATGGAATGTGAGTTGTTTCTTTTTTCTCTCTCCTCTGATTTACAACTAATCTAATGTTCATAACCAAAAAGAAAAAAAAAGGCACTTCTATACAGCACACCAGGGCACCTGAGAGATCCATCCATCTGTGCACCCATACGTGGGTGGAGTGGACCTTAGAGGAGGCTGCAGAGGCAAGCAGCAGCAGAGGCATCAGTGGTAGGGCTGGCAGTGGGCCAGGCTGGCACAACTTTCTGGCAGAGGAGGTGAAGTGCGAAGGTGTCGAGTAGAGCTCTAACGTGCCGTGCATGCTGCAGCTGGAAGGACCTGCCTGTTCTCTGTGAGGAGAGCACAATGACTCGGGGCAGGGACAGGAAAGGGAAGAAGGCGAAGAGACCTGAAGGGAGTCGTAACCTGCTGTCTGCCCCAGGATTCTGGCAAGAGGACCGCCCACGGACCTCTAGGACACCACCCAGTGCAGGATCCTCCCCGCTCCCCCCACTGGCCTGTGGGCACAGCCACAGTACCAAGTGCTAAGCACACACCTCCCCAACTCTGCCACCACCCTTTTTTTGCCCCTCTTCACCAGCTTTTTTAATGCACATGCTCCCAACCTGACTAGGCAGGAGCTGGTAAGAGAAACCAAAAATTTGTGCTGCAGCACCACCTTCTGGAAAAGAAAAGTAACTCTTCCAATTACCAACCTGCTGAATTGTTAGAATGGCAAACCAAGCTTTACCTCAACAAGAAAGTGTTCATTACTCAAAATGCGGCAGCAGAGGCACTTTTCATCAAACACTGAAAAATCATGGTAACATGATATCACCAAAAGAAGACAGTAGTTTTCTGGCAGCCAAACCCAGAGACACGGACTACTTTGATCTAACTGATAACGAATTCTGAAAAGCTATTATGAAGAAATGCAATGAGCACAAGAAAACTCAGAAAGGCAATGCAGTGATCTCAGGAATAAAATTAATAAACAGAAGTAGTACTTACTAAAAGGTTGAAATTCTAAAAAAGAACCAAACATTCTGGAGCTGAAGAACTCAATAAATGAAATGAATAGAAAGCACTGGAAATAAAGCAGATCCGATGGAAGAGAGAATAAACGAGCTTGAGAATAGAAATATAGAAATGTTTCAGGTAGAAGAAGAGAGAGAACTACGGTTTTTTTAAAGTGAAGAAACCCTACGAGAAACCCAACAGAGGGTTGATGGATTTTCCAGAAGAAGAGAAAGAGAAGAGAGCAGAGAGTACATTTAAATAATAGCCGAGACTTTCCCAAACCTTGGGAAGGGACTGAATATACAAGTCTACAAAGCTAGTAGAACACCCTATTATCTCAACACAAAATGAACTCCAGCATATATTAAAACTGTCAAAAATCAGTGGTAAAGAGTGTTAAAGGCAGCTGGGGGGCGGGGCGCAGGGGGAAGCATCCTACGTTATGCTGTCAGCAGATTTCTCAGCAGAAACTTTATAGGCCAACAAAGAATGGAATGATACTCAAAGTATTGAGAGAGAAAAATTGCCAGTCAAGATTACTCTTGTCTGGCAGAGTCATCCTTTAGATGTGAAGGAGAAATGAAAGCTTTCCCAGACAAAAGCTGAAGGAGTTCACCAGCCACTAGACCTGCCTTATGAGAAATGTTGAAAGGAGCTCTTGAAACTAAAATGGCTCAAAGTGAAATGAAGAGAAAAGTACAAAAAACTCTGATTAAAGTGACAATTAGAATTTAAAAAGTAACTTTTTTCATAGTAGTATATTCAACATAGCATAAAGTTAAAGGGAGCATTAAAAATAACTACCTACTACAACTCGGTAACAGCATAAAAAGATAATTGGCAACATCAAAAATATAAAAGTGGAAAAGTGAAAGGATAGAACCTTTATAGGTAAATGAGGATAATTTTCTGTCTGTAAAAAAAAGGATGATTTTATCTATGAGATGTTTTATGTAAACCTTATGGTAACCACAAAGCAAAAATCTAGCACAGAGACACAACACATAAAAATAGGGGAGACTGAGCAAATCATGAAAAACCGTAAACTTACAAAAGTCGACAGAAACAAAGAAAAAGAAACAAGGAAGAGACAATAACCAGAAGGCAATAGATAAGATAAAATTGCTGTGATAAATCCTTACATATCAGTGATCACACTAAATGAAAATGGATTGAACTCACCAATCAAAAGGCACAGAGTGGCTAAATAGATTTTTTAAAAAAAATCCAACTCTACGCTGCCTGTAGGAGACTCATTTTAGCTCTAAAGACACACATAGGTCTACAGCCATGCTACCCTGAACAAGCCCGATCCTGTCTCATCTCGGAAGCTAAGCAGGATTGGGCCTGGTTAGTACTTGGATGGGAAACCGCCTAGGAAGACCAGATGCTGTAGGTGTAAAAAATAAAAAGGAGTTGTAAGCTGGCAAGGTCCTTGCAATCTGTGAGGTCAACCAAGAGTTGCCTTGCCTAATAAAAAAATAATAAAAAAAAGACACACATAGGCTCAAAGTGAAAGAATGGAAGAAAATGTTCCAAGCAAACAAACCAAAAGAAGGCAGGTATAGCCATACTTATATCAGGCAAGTAGACTTCAAGACAAAAAGGGTAACAAGAGACAGAGAAGGTCATTATATAATGACAAAGAGGTCAATATGCGAGGAAGATATAAATATATATGCTCCCAACACCTGAGCACCAAAATATATTAAGCAAATACTAGCAGATCTAACAAGAGAAATAGATAACAATACAATAATAGTAGGGCACTCCAGTACCCCACTATCAGCAAAACATTAGATCGTCCATACAGAAAATCAAAAAGGAAACATCGGCTTGAACCTCGTGTTAGCACAAGTGGACTTAACAGATACATGCAAAACATTCCAGCCAATAGCAGCTGAATATACATTTTCTCAAGTGCACATGGAACATTCTTTAGAATAGATTATATGAATTTTAGCAAATTTTAAGAAGATCGAAACCATACCACCTATCTTTTCTGATCACCATGATATGAAATTAGGAAGGCGAGAAAATCTACAAATATGTGGAAACTGAACAACACACTTCTAAACAACCAATGGGTCAAAGAAGAAATCAAAAGGGAAAAAAAAATTATCTTGAAACAACTGAAAATGGGAACGTAATATATCAGTTACCATGGAATGTAGCAAAAGAGCAGAAATAAATGAAATAGAGACCAGAGAAACCATAGAAAAGATCAACAAAACTAATCTGGTTCTTCAAAAAGATCAACAAAAGTGACAAACCTCTAGCTAGACTAAGAAAAAAAGACGGACTCAACTAAATAAAATTAGAAATGAAAGAGGAGAGATTATGATTAATTCTACAGAAATACATAGACTCATAAGAAACTACTTACTGTGAACAATGAAATGCCAACAAATTACCCGGGAGAAATGGATATATTTCTAGGATCATAAAACCTACCAAGACTGAATCGGGAAGAAATAAGCAATCTGAGCAGACTAATAATGAGTAAAAAGATTGAATCAATAATAAAAAAAATTCCCCACACAGAAAACTCCAGGACCAGATGGCTTCATGGGAGAGTTCCACCGAACATTTAAAGAATTAACACCAACCCTGATCAAACTCTTCCAAAATGTTGAGGAGAAGGGGATACTCCAAAACTACTTCTATGAAGCCAGCATTACCTTGATAAAACCCAATAAGGATACAAGAAAACTATAAACCAATATCCTTGATGAATATAGATGCAAAAATTCTCAGCAAAATATTAGCAAACCAATATCAACAGCACAATATACACCATGACCAAGTAGGATTTATTCCTCAGATAACAAGGATGATTCAACATACACATCAATAAACATGCAATACATCATTACATCAGTGAAATGAAAGATGAAAATCACATGATCATCTCAATAGACATAGAAAAAGCATTTCACAAAATACATTTGTTCATGATAAAATCCCTTAACAGACTGGGGGTACCTTAACACAGCTAAAGCTGTATATGGCAAACACAGCTATACTCAGTGGAGAAGAGTTGAAAGCGTTTCGTATGAGATCAGGAATGAGACAAGGATGCCACTCATCATTCTTACACAATATAGTACTGGGAAGCCTAGCCAGAACAATTCGGCAAGACAAAGGAATAAAATTGTCACTATTTGCTGATCATATACATAGAAAATCCCAAAGAGTCAGTCAAAAACTTGATTAATTATTGAATTAATCAACAATTTCAATACAGTGAAATGGCAGGATACAGAATCAACATAGAAATCAGTTACATTTCTTTAATAGTGAAGCATCTGAAAATGCTCATTCACAGTAGCATCAAAAACAATAAAATACTGAGGAATGAATCTAATCTACAAAGTGAAAAATCTGTACAATGAAAACTACAAGTCTTTGCTGAGAGAAATGAAGAAGACGAACAAATGGAAAGACATTTCATGTTCATGGATCAGAAGAATTTATATTATTGAAATGTCCAAAGCCATCTACATATTCAACACAGTCCCCATCAAAATACCAAAGGCATTCTTCAGAGAAATAGAATAAACTATCCCTAAATTTGGAACCACAAAAGACCCTGAATAGCCAAAGCAATCCTGAGAAAAGAGAACAGAGCTGGAGGTACCACACTTCTGGATTTCAAACTGTACTACAAAGCCATAGTAATAAGAGCAGTATGGTTCCATCACAGAGATAGATACATCAACCAATAGGACAGAATAGAGAGCCCAGAATTAAATCCCTGCTTATATAGTCAGCTAATATTCAACAAGGGAGCTAAGAAAATTCAATGGGGGAAAGGATAGTCTTTTCAAGTGGTGCTAGGAAAACTGGAGAAACATGGAGAAAAAATGAAATTGGAACCCTATCTCATACCACTCACAAAAATTAAAAATGGATCAAAGTCTTAAACATAAGACCTGATACCATAAAATTCCTAGAAGGAAATGAAGGAGTTATGCTTGTCGTTATTTGTCTTGGCAGATTTTAGGGGCATGACACCAAAAGCACAGATAAAAAAAGCAAAACCCAACAGATGGGACCACATCAAACCCAAAAGTTTCTGCATAGTAAAAGATCGAACATATCAGTAGAAATGTGTTATTTCAGATTACGTTTTCACAGGTTGTTAAGGAGTAAAATAAATGAGATGTTTGCACAGACTGCATTGATAAGAGTTATATAAAATATTTTAAAACTCTATTCTCGTCTTCACCCTGTGCAACGTCTGTAGGTGTGTACGCTTGGATCGGCATTAATTTTGTCCTTGGACGATTTGAGCATATTGAGGATGGTAAGTATCGTGTTTCCAACTAATGTGTCTATCTGGAAATTATAGCTTTTTCTGTGTAAAGGATGAAAAAGGAACTAAGTTTTGTGACACAGCTAAGTGTGTAGGAGTAGAGCGAGAGAAGCTGCTATTTCGCACAATTATCTTGATTTTAGTTGGGAGGAGTAGGCTGGGTTTGCCTAGAAATGCTTGAAACATACCATGAAAACAAGGTGACTCTTCAGAAGATCCCAGTTCTCTGGCTTTGTTCTGCTCCCATGGCTGCTTCTCGTTCTTTCCAGATGATGAGGCAGTTGTGGAAGTGATCATTCCTGGTAGTGAGAGCAGCGAAGCCATTCTCCGTAAAAGGACTGCTGGTATTCTCGACATGGGAGGCGTGTCGACCCAGATAGCGTACGAAGTCCCCAAAACTGTAAGCTTTGCCTCCTCACAGCAGGTTATTATCTGTACAAATTTCCTTCTGTTTGATTTGGTTTCATTTAACATGTTTCCATTCATTTTTGTTTTGTTTTCTGAGTCCGAACACGTCTTTACTGTGCTTGCTGAAGTACCACCTTCTCAACCAAGGAGACAGGAGAAGGCGGAAACCAAGGCAGTCCTCCCCCTAAGCAGTTTGTGTTTGTTCATTGAAGTCAGCTGGTTTGTGTTCTGAACTTACGTAGAGGGTTTTTGCGGCATATATGTCAGTCACATGCTTGAGTTTTTGTTTCTATTGTTTCTTCAGTCACTTCTTTTTCTCAACAGGTATAGTAAAATTTAATAGAATAGCATTAGATTTCTTAAGTTATAATTGGGGAAAAGTACATTTTTTAATGACTCGGACAGCTTTGACTTTTCTGGAAAAGACCAAGGTTTATGTCCACTGCTTCCACGTTTCTGAACTTAGGTTTACCTGTCTTCTTCAAACCTTCAGTGCTCTGATTCACTGTCTGTAGTTTCCCAGTAGGCCGGTGGCCCTGTGCGGAGAGCACCAGAAGGGTTTTTAGATGTATTCCTAAATTGCTCATGTCTTTATTACTCTGTTTCCATTCCACTGTAAATTAATACCAAAGCCTGGTTTCCTACACTTTCCCCCAGTATGGCACAGTGGTTCAAAAAGACTGGCACTGGACAAGCCTAGGCCTCATCATCATTCTGTCCCTGCTAGTCATGTGACCTTATGCAAGTCACTGAACTTCTTTGAACTGGTTTCTTCATCTGTAAATATGATGTAAGCGCCTCTACCATAGGGTTATTCTAAGGTTTAAATGAGACAGTGCATATAAAGTATCTAACGCATTACCAGATACCTACTGTTCACTCAATGTTATTGGTACATTTATTAAGCTCCTTAGAAAAATGCTTTGTAAGTTCAGGTATTACTATCTGTGTTTCTTACTTCGCATCTAGACATGCCTCCAGAAACTATTACACTCTTTGTAAAAAGTCACATTTTACCCTTCAAGAGAAATTTTTGAAAATACATAAAGCAAGTTTGGAAAAAATTCTGAAAAATTAGGATTAAAAATTTTCATGGATGCATTATCTAAAAATTCATTGTTAGCATCGTGTATTTTTCTTTTCATTTTTTCCTATTTATAGTTTTTAAAAATATGGTTGTTGTAATCTTACTGTTTATGCAATTTTGTGTCTCTTATTTAACAGCACATAACCATGTTCCACCATAAACTGTTGATTACCATAATTTACTAAACCATTTTAGGAGTTGCGTATTTAGATGACATCCAGCTTTTTCTGTCCCAGAATTGGAAGGACATCTTTGTGTATAGAGACTTTTCAATGTTCAAGATTATTTCCATAGCATAGGATTCCATAAATAGATTTACTAGATCAGAGAATATGAACTACACCGCTAACTTCCTTTTTCAAAAAGTTGTAACAGTATCACAAATGTGCAGCACAACTGAAATTTCTTAAGTCAGAATTGTCATATTGAATTAGAAGGAACCCTCAGAAGAAAATGCAGAAGCAGAAATTTTTGCTCCATTTAGATGAGAACCTTTTTAGATTTTTTAGAGCCTTCTTTCTAAAGAAAGTGATTGTTTGTTTATGTATTGCTTAAAATATTAAAGTTTGTTATCCCTACGTGTTCAGGAAGAAGTAGCTAAAAACTTGCTAGCCGAATTTAACCTGGGATGTGACGTTCACCAGACTGAGCATGTGTACCGAGTCTATGTGGCCACATTTCTTGGGTTTGGTGGCAATGCTGCTCGACAGAGATATGAAGACAAGATATTTGCCAACACAGTTCAAAAGAACAGGTAAAGAACCTTCCTCTGCTCAGCAGTCCCTTTCAAACCCAGAAAACATATCCAGGCAAAGCAGGGAGACCTTAAAGGACAGGAGCATGTCAGCACTGTCGGCTCTTCATTCCCCTGCCGGCCGAGCTGGGAGAAGCAAAAGGACACCCGGGTTCTGCCTTTGGCCCTACATCCCACCAGGCTCCAAAGAGGGCGCGCGCTCTCAGACCCACGCCCCCCTTGATGGCTTAGAAATTTCACTATCAGGATATTACAGTAGCTAGCAGCGCTGGGTGATACATTCCAGATTGCAGAGTTCTTGGGAAACTCAGATGTGGGCCACTGCAGATGTCTTGGAACCCGTAGTAAGTGATGATACAATTGTCATTATTGATAAAATTAAATTATGTGATGTTCTGGAAAACCAGCCTGTGCAGTTACTCAAGAGAAAGGAATGATCTAGAAGTCAAAATTAGTGATTTTAAATACTTATAGCAGCGAAACTTTAAAAAATGTGTTTATAAACAATTCTGGTATAGAAAATACATAAAAAAAAAAAAGCAAACTTTATCGATTTAAGTTTATTTTCTGAGTATATAATTATTTATTTGAAGTTAGTTCATAAGAGCAGAAAAGCCATTTGGATGAATAAAAATATCTGAAATCTGGAATTATGTAAAATACCCTATTAATTACTATTGTGTTTGCTTTGATGAAATAATTTTAATATCCCTAATTCACAGAAATAAATGATAGTATATTTCCTTGATCAATTTAATCTTAAACCTGTGGAGGCCCAAACTTTAAGAAACACCAAGTCAGAGCCATTTAGTACCACATTTTCCAGAAATTAATATATGTAAATAGGGAAAGCAATAAAAACCTGGTTTTTGTCTACTCCAGGCATTAATTGAATAGTGTTGGTTAAGAAATTGGTAGTCCTATTGTTTCTTTTTTAAAGTGGTGTATTATATAACACATTTTAATATAATTATTTTTTATAATAGTCTTGAAATATTTTATAAATGATATTTAAATCAGAATTTTGGCAAAACACCTTCTGCAACCCTGGTTTTTACTGATTGTTTTAATGTCAGGAAGCTTGTATAATAGATAATTTAGTGGTACTTCTTAATTTAGATGTAAGGCAAGCAACTAAACACAGTAGCATGAAGTATACATTTGGTTGGTGTTGGACTTGTATAATAATAATAAATGTTAGCCATCACTTTTTGCATATCATGAATTGAACCTTGAATGCATATTTATCTCTCTGCCATAGTAGTGATGATTGATTTTTTTAATTAAACATTTTTGAGTAGTGACAAAGACCTTAATTTATTACATTCAAGTATACATAGCAGGATTACAGATCTTCATGCCTGGGACTTTCATTGGGAAATAGTACGCATAGTGCATTTCAGTGAGCAAAGCTGATTTTTCTACGGGACTTCTCAGAGCCTGTAATACAGTAGAAGCACTGTTATCTACAGCAATTGGGATGAGTGGTTGATTCACTTTTTAAAAATCAGTTAAAACAGAATCATAAAGATAGAATCAAACCTCAAGCATTTTGTTTTAACTTATGTATTATTTGCCAATCTTTTGCTCTGGACTAAAGTGTTTTTTTAGGCTATGTCTGTCATTTCTCTGGCGTGTACTGCACCCACCCATCTTGACGTCATTTTGTCTTTCTCTAAATACGAAGGACTTAACGACATTTGTGAAACAATTCGATACCAGGTCCATCTAGACTTTTACTGATTTTTCTCAATTCTTTTACAATCTTGCAAACACATAATTTGATAACAGCTTTCTGGCAATTTGCCTTTATCATGTTTTTCTAAGGCATCTGACCTAGTTTTCACAGGATCAGTTACTTCTTTTCACAATCGCACTTCATTGATATATGATTAAAATCACAATCTCTAGTGGCAGAAATGGGGCTAGGAACAACACAGTGGGTGGGCACGCACCTGCAGCCAGCAGGAGACTGAGCGGGGCTTACTGACAGTGCGCTTCGCAGCCGGGACACCAGGTTGTGTACAGGGAACAGAAAGTTTCAGGTCACCTGACCCGGTAGGTGTTTCACTGGACTCTTAAGGTGCCTGCTGTACGAGAGTGTATATCATAACTCCCAAA